CTTTGCATCGCCGCCGCCGCCGATGCCGTCGCCGTCACCGCCGATGCCGTCGCCGTCGCCGCCGCTGCCGTCGTCCTTAGACAAGCACGTCCCACTGCTCGCAGAGTAACCACTCGCAAATAGCCTGGATCCGCCGCGGGGGACTGACGATCCACTGCAGTGCGGCGTGCATCTTTTGTTCGCACATAGGTGAATCGGTACCTTGCGAGTCGTGTAACTCGCTGGGTGAGTCCTCCTCCCCCTTCTCGTCCTCCACGTCTCGCCTCCTCCTTCTCACCAGCCTGGAATGCGCGCGATGCGACGGCCCCATCAGACCGCAACGGCGAGCACTACGGTGACCAGGGGAACCGCCCGCCGACCGGCCCGATCAACGACCACGTCGCCGGCAGTCCGGGACTCCGAACATCTTGACAATAACTGCTGGCTTGCCAACGTGAGCCCCAAACAGTAAGATGCTGCGATGTGGATGTGGGCCATGTGGTTCAAAGCTATGTGATATAAGCTATGCTGTGCAATCTATGTGGTACAATATATATATATATGTATATATGTATGCGGAGCAAGCTATGTGGTGCAAGCTACCTTGTGTAAGATTTATGGCGCAAGCTATGTGGTGTAATACACACGTTGTGTAAACTATGTCGTGTAAGCTGTGCGCTGCAGTCTATGTGATGTTAGCTGTGTGGTGCACGCTGTGTTGTGTAAACTGTATTGTGCAAGCTCGGTGGTGTAGGCTACGTGGTGCAAACAATCAAGGAACCAATCTGTGGCGCAGTTCCTGTTCGCAACGAGTTGTCAACTCCACTGCTTGCGCAATCATCCCACCCACCCACCCGCAAATTGGTTTGCATAAGCCCACGCGGCGGCGATTGCGATGAATGCTTGGTGTTGGTTGGTGCATCTCTGCGGCCGCTCTAGCCCGCGCATGCTCGCGCGCCCAGCGGCCAGCTAGTTTGGCGCGAGCGACGCGGCCACGGTGGCGCTGACCGCTGGGCACTGCCCAGTGGGCACTTCGTTTCGAGTTGGCGGCTTGGGCGGGCGCGGTATTATGGCAACTTCGACAACGGTAGACGCGAGGATGATAGTTGCGATGCTGGTGACGATGAAGATAACGACGACGGCAAGGCCAATGACGGCGCCGATGCTGATCAAGCCGACGACGGTGACGGCGTCCTCGCGTCCGTGATGAAGGTTTTGGGAGGAGTTCGGCATGCGCGCGCCGCCGACGCGCGAGAGTGGCCCGCATGGTGTTATTTGACACGCATCATGCACCCCCAGCACGCGCGGAAAGGCTTTCGAATGATTTCGACATGCGGCGCGAGAGGCTGGCTTGGCATAATCGAATGGACATGTTGAACAACTCTAGGTTTTCTTTGTAATCCACAAACAAACGCGAGCGCAGGCTTTTTAAAACAACTGGCGTTGCACAACCTTGTGTTCTTAATCTATTTTCGCGACACTCGACGCTGGCATCCTGACGAAACCAAAGGTTTTTGGAGGATTTCGGCGTGCGCGTGCGACGACGCGCGCGTGTGCACTTCGTTTGAATTTTGCAAGGGGCTCTCGCGACAAAACGCGCGCAAGGTAGTTTGAACGATTCCGACATGCGCGCGCGAGAGGCCCGTTTGGTAGCATTTAATGAACATGTTGAAGAACTTATGGTTTCCCGAAGAATTCGCAAGAGTGCGGGCGCAAGTTTTTATTTGAACATTCGTATTGCGAAACCCTGTTTTTCTATTTTCGGGACACTCGATTCTGATTTCCTTGCGAAACCATGGTTTTGACGGGGGTACCACTACTGGCCTGCCTGGGATGGCGTGAACTCATACATATGCAAATTGCAATGCGGAAAAAATGATACCGTTGATTCCGGGGGGGGGGTTGATCCTATTACCCATCGGTCGGAAGAAGTGGATCGAAACATGAAGTAGGAAGGCGTTGGAAGTAGATTGGGCCTCCGCCCGCCCCCTGCAGAGGAGGGAAGAAGGAAAGCCGCTCGACTCTTGAAGTAGGAAGGCTGCTAAAGCAAATTGGGATCTGGGGAGCCAGATAAACCTACTTTCAACGACCAGCCTGTACTCTGTCAGCAAGGAGAATCTATGCTGCCGGCACCCACGGGCGGGTACCAAGCGAAACCTCGGCACCCACACGGTGCACACTAGACGCCTGCGGGCGCCCAACAGCCAGGCACCAACCGAAAACCTGGCACGCCCATTGCCATCCGATTCGTTTCGACGACAGGCAATTGCCCCTGAGTGCAAGCACTGTTTGGGGAACTACGCAACAACAGTGGAACAAACCTGGCCGATTTTCACGCGGACCTCGAGCCAGATCCATCTGTGAGTGTCCCGCGGCCGAGTCGGGACAAGTGCAGTAGGGTCCCGACCACAAGAAACCTTCCACAAGAAACCCAACCCTGAGACCGCAGGACCGCCCTTGATTTCTGGCGTGGGGAAGTCACGCTTCCCATCGCAAAACCATCGAAACCCAAGAAACTCAGGGCACCCTGGAGGCAAGCAGGGCGTTTCTGGCCCCCCACTGTACGCACGCCGCGGGTCTTCGCCCCCGGTCCCCGTCCGCGGCGTACCTTTTCCTGTGCAAGCTCTTCGGCACCGCCTGCACCCCGGGCTCCGCCCGCTCCGGCCGCCTGAGGCCCCGCCTTCCTGTGCCCTGCCTCCCTACTTAAAGCTGTGCGTAGCCCGCCTAGCTTTTAGCAGAAGAGGTTCGCTCTCGCCCCGCCGACCGAAACAAAACCCTGTGTGCACGCCGCGGTTGCTCACGGCGCCCAGCTCTTCAGTGGCTGCCTGCCCTCGTGGCGGTCGCGTGATCCGCGAACTCTGGGCGCGGTGCTCCGCCCAGGGGCGCCCAGGCCAAAGTTGACCACCAGCACGCCCAGGGCCTGAGAGGAAGGCACAACGGAGGGGAGGAGGAGGAGGAGGAGGAGGAGGAGGAGGAGGAGGAGGAGGAGGAGGAGGAGGAGGAGGAGGAGGAGGAGGAGGAGGAGGAGGAGGAGGAGGAGGAGGAGGAGGAGCCCCGAGAGTCGGCCCCCAAAGCCCGTTCCTCCCCAGAGCCCGTCCTCCCCGAGAAGGAAGGGGGCCGGCGTGGCGACTACGGTCGGGGACTTTTGCTCCGTGCCGAAGCGGTGAGCCCGGCGACGTGTCGTGCTCTGGGAAATGACGGCGTGTCGCTGAGAGGAGGACGAGGCGCCGACGACGACGACGGGGATGAGAAGAGGGGAGTCAACATCCACCTTGAGGCGATGATTTTGGGACGCAGGAGGACGTACTAGTACTATGCGCCCTTCTCGGAGGAGCCCGCCCTGACCGAGCATGTGATACAAGCATATTGTGGTGCGCTGTTTCCCGGGCGGAATGGCCAAACAGCGCCTGCCACGGAGCTTGTACGGGAAGACATCTCGGCGCGCGCGTCGCCCCCGCGGGCGCGACGCACACTTTTTGGTCCGCGGCTCCGAAGCGAGAGACAGGGAGCGAACACAACGTCCGGGGCGCGGTACGTCATTAATTGGCGCGAGATTGCCGCGGATTCCAGCGGACAGCACTCGCAGCGGCACGTGCACATGCCAGGGACAAAATGCCCCACGTCGAGACGCATTTCAGCGTCTGCTGGTGACTGGCCCAGTCAGCCCGGCTGGTGGGGAAGCAAAAGGCGCGGCAACGAGGCGGCAAAGGAACCGGGAGGAGAAGTCGCCCTTGCGGCGCCAAGCTCCAGCCGAACCGCAACCGTAAGCGAGGCCAGGACGGACAGCAAGACACTGTAACAAGCCGCGGGCAGAACGCGAGTCCGAGCGGCCAATGACCAGACGGAACCCACGTGTGTGCACACTGACCCAGGCCGTCCAAGCCTCGGAAAAAGCGGGGTGAGCGCGAGCGAGAGCAACTAACTCAGACTCACTGCGCGTCCACGAGCATACGATGATGCGGCGAGGGTGACCCGACTCACCAAAGCTCACTGAAGCTGAGGTGTGGCTGATCCGCGTCCGAGCACCATCCAGTAAGAGGCAGACCGCTGGTGTGCGCTCACGTGGCTGAGCAACCTCCAGACGGTAGCCTGTGCGCTCACATCGTATCCGAATCACGCTGTTCGGGGGCACAACGATGCAATTGTACTGTCGAGGGCTAGTGGCTGTGGCTGCGCCGAAAAGAGCGAAAATAACTCGAACCGCAGAAGGCTGAACCACTCAATGCGGGGCCGCTCATTTTGACGAAGCCAATCACCATGAGTAAGGCGGACAGCCGCACCCACTCAACACCTGTCACGCTGCCCGTGCAGAAGCCAAATACCTCCGACACCAGGGCGAACCGATAGCTGGCAGCTGCAGAGCTGCTGGGCCGTACCGTTCGCTGGCGGCGTGCTGACGGCGGGCCAAGACGTCCTTGTAGTAGAACCATGGCCGGGTCGGCACGAAGGAAGGACCGCTGCTTCCAGGGCAAGTCTCAGGGCAGACGCGTTCCTGCGGCCGGCGCAATGGTGGGCAGGGGGGGGGCGCAGCCAAAAGCCGCTGAACACGAGTGCCAATGAGGGGAGGAGGAGGAGGGGGCGCAGCCAAAAGCCGCTGGACACAGATTAAGATGGGGGGTGGCTGGCGGCCGCACTGCCGCCGGTGACAACTTATTCCAGGGACGGGAGCGTCTTGCGCGACGCACACGCGCAGCATCACTTTGCCAGGGTGACGCCGAGATGTGTATCCGACGAGTTCCCGAGGCCGACACGGAGGCGTGCTCCTCTGGGCGAGATGGCGCCCCCACGCCCCCGCCGGCGATGCGTGAGCGCCTCGGGGGGGTCCCGGGCCTCCGGCTTCGTGATTCCGCAGGGAGGCGCGAAGCGAGGCGAGGCGACTCCCAGTCCGCCCGTGGGGGCGGCCGCGCGCGGGGCTGGGAGTGGGCGCCGGGGCGCCGCTCGTTCAGTCGAGGGTAGACCTGCTTCTGCCTGCACGGTGCACATAACTAACCACCCTCCAAGTGTGACCACAGGTCGCTGTG